TTCCAGAATCACAAGCGTTATAAAATATTTTATGAACTATTTATATTGTTAGATATTATTATCTAAGAGGAGAATCTTTTATCCTCTTGTAAATAAACCGAAAATATCGTTTGCATAAGTAAAGTACTATTATAGTAGAACTATTAACTACATATATATAATTTTTGCATTTTTCATGACACTTTCTTCCTCGCACAACCACTCTTTGGAATCAACATCCAGCAGCAGTATTTCGGAACCAATACGATATCATAACCTTCAGGAAAAGAGGATATTCCTTTTTAAAAGGCCGACAGACCTGCAATGCCTTTCGTGTTATGGGTGATCATAGACGGCGGTAGTCACTTACCATCAGGTGAGCCGAATGCTCGTTGGTCCACTGTATTGTAAAAAAAATATTCACGATTTCTTTTTTTACTTTGTTCATTAAATAATAACGAAAAGTATATTCTTCTTTGCAAATCGATGGTAAAACATGAAACTAGATTCAGGTCAGTAAAGAGATAGTTCAGAATTTGACCACTGGGACTGCATCTACTGTGTACTTAAATTGTTCATTATTTTTATAAATAACCGCAGCAAATTTATTTTAATCATTAATTGCGACTTATTATCTCAAAAATACATATTTTACCGTACCAACAAAATATTTCTTCGTAATTTGCAATAGCAAACTTGATGACAGTCCATCTGTCATAGTAATTGTCGTCTATAAACAGTATCATGGGCGTCGCAGAATACATTGCGATACCTATAATACCCAACTCTTATTATATTGATTTCGATACCAAAAACTCACTCATTACAACTATTTACAGTAAAAAATATATATTTGTATAATAATACAAGCACGCATATGTATTTACATGATATATACACTATATTGTTTTTTTTTCTCTACATATTTATTATTTTCTTATTATGTTACACTGTGAATTATCTTTTCTGTCACTCCTATTTATGGTTGACTGGTAGATAATGCCATATGGTGTTAAGTTCGCCATTTACACTGTGTAGGTGTATTGAATATACCCTATCAGGTCGACCTGAAAACCATCTTGACTAATTCTTATGGAATTCGTTACGATGGGCTAAATGGTCTGCTTCCATCCTCGCTTATCATTCTTCACTGGTACTCCGTCAGCATATACTGATACTGCAGGCGGAATTAACATTTCATTATCATTCATAAAAAAGGCATAGAATAGGCCACCCCTTTCTTTCCCGTGTGTATCGTAAGAGACGAGGCTAAGGTAGAGCGAGATATAGACAGCAGCGTCCATCTTAAAACATCTCCAAAGCCTAACTGCAGTTACCAATCCGCCTGCCAAGCATGGCAACTACTGGCATAACCTCCCAAGGGGGAGGCTTATGTTCAGCAGTGAACAGTTAAAGGCCGATATGATGATGATGATGATTCTAATACGCGGAGAATTAAATATATGAGTATTTTCTAAGATAAATATGTAGGCACATAATTGCCTCAATTGCCTTTAACTGTAAATAGCTCTTCAAATACCAAACAGTTTAATTATAACGGATTGTCCCAACAAGATTTGTGTTTGTGTTATTAATAATAGAATTGTGTGTATTGTAATTAAAGTGTAAATTGTTAAACAAATATTTGCCACAGCTAGTTTTAGGAAGTGTTTATAGGTACGTACTGTAACCGCTAATTGCGAACTTACCGTATAGTATGGTAATTCAAATTAAACCATGTATAATAAATTTTAAATGTGAACAGGTGTTAGGTAAATTAATTATTTTAATAAGCATTTGCATGGGTTTATTACATTATCATTTTATTATATTCTTATACACTGTAATGCTATTATTATGTTTAAATCTAAATATAGTTTAAGATTGCGTTGCACAAAAAAAAACAAAAAAACTTCAATTGAAGCAAAACCAATTATTTTAATTTAATAACTGAACTACTCAACCGATTTTGATAAAATCTGAAAGTATATTCCTTCAGATAAAATAGAATTTTACAAATTGGTTTATAAACTGACGGAGTTATGAGGTAAGAAACGTAAAAAAACTTGTCTGATCAGCAAGTTGTTTGTAGGATTTGCCAGAAAAAAAATTTATACAAATAATAAAATTAAATCGCACATAGCGTTCTTGTTGAGTAGAATGACCAATTTGTAAAACTCTAAAATGCAAAGACAAAGTACTAGGCGAACAAAGGGACGCAGGAGATATTAACAATATAAGTTCTCATTATATTTTTATTTTAAGAATAAAAAATAATATCAATTAAATTAATATTATTTCTATTTAAATGTAATATATGTAATATTACTACTAATACACAATCTACCTACCACATGTTAGCCAACTATGTACATAAAGATTATTTTAAATGAAAATATCATCTTCTAGACGAAAGTACACCTCACGTTGGTATTACAATGCATATCGCATCGTGTTACAAGGATTCTTTGTATTCAGATGTGCTCATCCCACATTCAGCAGGCATATTCAGCAAAATCAGTGGATCTGAGAGAAAATTACAATATTACACCGCATATTTAGAGTTCTATGAATAAAAACTTCTATTATTCAATAAAAAAAAAAGTGTTTCTTAAATCTACTATATTTTTGTATACATGCATGTTATTTAATGCAATATATTAGCAAATTTTTATGTCAAATTTAGAGATTGCTTTTTAATTCTTTTACTGTATTTATTTATTAATTATCTGTTATAATTCTTTTATTTTCGAGTGGTTTTTAAAATATGTTAATAAGTATATCAATCACTCTTTATTACAATAGAATCTAAATATATATATATATATATATATATATATATATATATATATATATATATATATATATATATATATATATATATCTAAAAATTACCATCATAAGGGACGGAGTGAAGTTTGCCAGTAGTTGTCATGCTTGGCAGGCAAGTTGGCAAAATGTTAGAAAAATAAAAGACTACAAAAAAAAATTACAATTTTTAATTATATTGTATTTAGTTATCGTATATGTTGTTTACTTAAAAGAAGTATAGTTTAAAATTTAATCTAACTGCACAGAGTTCTCAATGTGCATTGTTAAAAGGTTTCCATTATTTAGTACTAACGTTCATGTTTACATCGATTGTACAAAATTGTGTATGGAAGTTTTACATTTCGAACCAACTATTAAAATTTCAATTAAAATTTTCAGTATAGGTAAACACTAACGCAGTAAATAATAACGTAAATTTGGCAAACACACTAGAGACTCAGAGTAAGGTGACACTAGTATAAAAAAAAATGTTGTCCCTTAATAAAATTCTTTTGACAGAATTATTCGTAATATTGTTTTATGCCAGACAGAAGTGAAAAGTAAAACAAAAAACTAGTACACTAAAAAGTTTCCGCCATATTCAGAATAGGCATGTCTTTGTTCTTGCAACGAGCGCCCGCTAATGTCACATGAAATAAGACTAAAACAGGGATATTAAGATGAGAGGCACCTTTGAAGGATTGTGCTGTAGCCGAAAAGAGTGGCAGACGATGATACTCCATGTGGCGGGCACAGACATTTTCCATTGTTACTTTCAGAGACATACTGCTTTGAAAATTTGCTACATACAGAGTTCGTAAATACGTTTGTATAAGCTCTGAAGAAGTGAGTTTTTAATTCGAGGTTTCATTTTAATTTTTTTTTTTTAATCAATTATGAGATATGTATGCGTTTTTATGTAATTACTTCACAATTGTTAAAGTATGTACCGGGTTTCCTAATTTAAACATTCTTTATGTTAAAATAATTTTAGATTTTCAACCGACTTCAAAAAAGAGGAAGTTCTGAATTCATAGAATTCATTTTCTGTTTGTTTCTTCATAACTCCATTAATTTTAAACCGATTTGGAATATACTTTTTTATTCGAAAGGACATACTTTCAGATTGGATCCATAAATAATTTATCAAATTCAATTTAGTAGTTTATTAATTAAATCAAAATAACTTTAAAAAGAATCTAACCTCTGGTATTGCAAGCGTTCATAGGCTACGGTAACCGCTTACTATCAGGTGGGTCGTATGCTTGTTTGCCACCTCAGTGGTATAAAAAAAGAAATTTATTTTGCCACAATTGAAGTCTGTTTTTTTTGTGGAACACAATCTTCTTAAAAATACAAAATTATAATTATTTGAAATAAGATAAATATTTTTTTTTCGAAATTAGTGCATCTAAAAACTTTGTGATTTTCAGAATTATTTGAAAATAACAAGTACTACATAAATACAATTATTTACGTATTTTCAATGTATTTTATCCTTGAAGTATTGAACTAGGTTAAAATTTATTATATTATATATATATATATATATATATATATATATATATATATATATATATATATATATATATATATATATATGAATAGTATTTTTTTCATTACATATAATATTAATAAGTAACTTATAATTTATTTGTTACTTTCTCGTAATGTATAGCATAATTATGCACATTAACAATACCTGCTATAACAGATTTAAACAATAAGTGAATTCAACTTTGCTGATTGTACAGTACCAACGCAAAACTATAAAAATTTATACAACAAGCAGAGAACTAATTCCTATAAAAAATTTATTTGTTCAGAGATGAAATATAAAAAAAAACTTTACACTAGCTGCTGTCAACTTTGATAGGTGGAGCACGTCAATAAAAGAAGAGCTTGAAACAATCACTGATTTATTATAATGAAGATTCATACAAGTTACCTTGAATATCTTATATGTATAACTACCTACATAGTTGTCAATAATAATCTGACATCTTCCTTTTTACAAAACAAAAAAAAAAAACTAACAAAAAATTATATTAAACAAAAACATGCATATATAAATTACTACAATTAAAATATAAATTAAATTTCTAAATGAATTAACATAATTGTTTTACTAATGTTATAATAAATATTTTTATCAATTATCCATAACAAAAATAAGTAGTAAGTAGGTACTATTACTATGTAGGAGTAACTTAAGACTCGTTTTCATAACCCCACCTGTCCGGCGGTCTCACCACCCTTCCATAGCGAGTTCGACGAATGTCTGAAGAATATGTATCGCTACTTAAATTATTAGTATTATCACAATACTGACAGTTATCATCATATTCAAAGTTGTAATCCTGTGGCGGGTCATGTCGTTGAGAGGAGTCCCTAATAATGTGTCGCCTATTCCTTACCACTTTATTGCCATTTGATAAAAGAATTTCATAAGATCTGTCTCTCAATATGCCTGTTACTATTCCAGATGTCCAGCGCTTTGCAAATTTATTGTAAACTTTTACTTTTTGTCCTATTGATAACGATTCTAAATGTTTTTTATTTCTATCATAATAATACTTATGTAATGCCTGTCTTTCTATTAATTTATTTCTAACATTTGTGTGTACTTTGGATTTTAATAATTTATTCGATGTCGGAATTATGCTTTTTAATTTTCTACTTTGTAATAACTCTGCTGGAGAAGGCAAGCTGTCTGTCAATGGAGTATTTAAGTATTCTAATATCGCTAAACGATAATCAATTTGGTCCTCATTCGTTTTTATCATGATGTTTTTTATAGTCTGTACCATGCGTTCGACTTGTCCATTCGATTGAGGATAATACGGGGATGATGTTGTGTGTATAAATCCCCAATCAAGAGCAAATTGTCTAAACAAACTAGATGAGAATTGTGGACCACAATCTGACATAACTATATTTGGAATTCCTTGACGATAAAATATATTTTTTAATGCATTAATTACACTCTCAGACATGGTTGAATGTAATTTAACGACTTCACAAAATTTACTAAAGTAATCCACTAACAATAAATAATCCTCACCTTTCAATTGAAACAAATCTACTCCTACTTTTTCCCAGGCTCGATCGGGTATGCTGTGAGGTATTAGTTCCTGTTTTTGATTACTTTTCCTATGTGACAGACATGTGTTACAGTTTGTTATTAGATTATGCAAATCATTATTCATTCCCGGCCAGAATACTATTTCCCTAGCTCTTAATTTACACTTTTCTAAACCCAAATGACCTATATGTATTTTATTTAAAATTTCCTTCCTGTATTCCTTCGGTACCACTATCCTGTCATTTTTGAATACCAACCCAAGTGTATATGACAAGTCATTTCTATAATTCCAGTAGGGTTTTATTATCTCAGGTACATCCGAATTATCATTTGGCCAGCCTTGCATGATATATTTCTTTAACTGAACTAATTCACTATCCGACTGAGTGCGTTTTTGAATCGCAGTCAATTGTAAATCGGGGATATATTCAGAAATCGCTAGGACTTTATCGCATAAAACCATACATATCTCATCATTGAAGTTGTCACAGTCACTCAGCGATGACTCATCTATCCTATTGTCTTCGTACGCACGCGACAGCGCGTCTGCGACATAAAGATGTTTACCGGGTTTGTAAATTAGTCTAAATGTAAAACGCTGCAATCTCAATAACATTCTTTGTAATCGCGCTGGAGAATCTACGATTGGTTTTTTAATGATACTTATTAGCGGTTTGTGATCAGTCTCAATAGTAACGTCTGATCGTCCATATATATATTCATAGAACCTTTCACATGCAAACACACACGCATACAATTCTTTTTCTATCTGAGCATATCTTTGTTCAGTTGTAGTGAGCGCTTTAGACGCGTAACATACGGGCAACTCTTTCTGCATAAGACAAGCACCTAACCCGCTGCTACTCGCATCCACCGATATGACTATTGGTTCTTTGATGCTATAATATTGAAGAACAGGTGGGCATGATAAAACGTTTTTTAATTCTAAAAAACAACGCTCCTGATTCTCATCCCAGTGCCAATCCACATCTTTCTTTAGAATGTCTCTCAAAAATATGGTTTTGTCTGACAAATGTGGTACAAATTTTCCTACATAAGTCACTAGTCCCAAAAAACGTTCTATATCTTTTTTATTTTTCGGAATTGGCATGTTTTGTATTGCGGAAATGTGAGAATCATCTGCACATAATCCATTTTTTGTGATCCGATGACCAAGATATTTTAGTTCTTGTAACCCAAATTTACATTTTTGCATATTCAACTTCAAATTAATCTTTCTACACCTATTTAATACTTTTCTTAATACTTTATCATGTTCTTTTTTCGTTTTAGCATAAATTAACAAATCGTCGATGTACATACATACACCTTCTATATCATCAAAGTTTTCATACATCTTTCTATGAAATACCTCCGAGGCCGAGCATATTCCGAACGGCATTCTTAGAAATTTATATCGACCAAACGGCGTATTAAAAGTACAATATTTATTTGTTTCATCTAATTCTACCTGCCAAAATCCCATTGAGGCATCCAAAGTACTAAAATAGCAGGCACCTGATAATTGAGATAATATCTCATCTATAGTGGGTAGTCTAAAATATTCTCTTTTAATACATTCATTTAACTCTTTTGGATCTAAACAAATACGTAAGTCACCATTTCCTTTTCTAACTATCGTGATACTATTTACCCAATCAGTTGGTCCCTCAACCTTCGCTATAATACCCTGAGACTCCATTTCTAACAATTTCTTTCTTACGTCATCTTTTATAGCAAAGGGCAATTTACGTGGCGCATGAACTACTGGAATAGAATTTTCTTTTAATCTTATTGTATATTTCCCAGGAAGACAGCCTATTCCACTAAATACATCCTCATATTCTCTTACTATATCAAGGTTTACCTGTTTGGACTCCTCCACCGACATGACCCGATGAATCAGATTCAACTGCTGACAGGCATGACGACTTAACAGGGGTTGGTTTGGAACATCTACAATAATAAATTCCATTAAATACATCTTATTTTTATAATCCACTTTTAAATATATTTTTCCATGAACTATTAATTTTTCACCTCCATATCCACTTAATTGGGAATCACAAGTTAATAAATCACTTTTTCTGATGCCTAATTTCGATATATATTTCAAAGGAATAATGCTTACATCAGCTCCAGAATCTAATTTAAATTTAATATTATTATTATTTATATTTAATGATACTATCCAATCATTATTATTGCAAAATATGCAATTAATTACCTGTTCTTCCGATTCTTGTACACTACATATTTTACACATTCGCGCAAAGTGATTCATCTTTGAACATCGTAGACACTTCTTGCCAAACGCCGGGCAAGCTTTATATCCATGTAGGGAACCACATCTGCTACAATGTGGTGTCTCGGGTACGATGCGTCGCGCCGAGGCTTCCCTTGTCATGCCGATAGCACGTCGACAATGCGCGGGTCGCGCACGCCCTCCTTGATAGCAATTACATGAACCGGTGTCATCGGAACGGCCATTCGCCGACGAAGCCGACGCCCTGGTTTCACCTGCGCCCCAGGAACTGCTTGCTCGGTTAATAGATAACCGTTTGCTGTTCTTGATTGTCCATATATCCTGTTGTTCCTTATCCCCTTCAGTATATCGGACTTCATCCACTCGACTAGCCTCTCGCTTAATGTTTTCCGCGTAGACCTTCGACACAACCGCCGCATGACATATGTCCATGGCTTTATTTAAATTTAAATTCTCTTCTCGCAGTAAACGTTCTCTGATTGCCGCGCTCAATACGCCACATACTAGACGGTCCTTGATAAGATCTTCATATAGTATTCCAAACTCACAATTCTGTGCTAATTTTCGCAATTCATATATATATTGCTCAATAGTCTCATTTTCCTGTTGATTTCTGATGAAAAATCTATGTCGCTCAACCGTTACATTCTTTTTTCGTTTAAATTTTTTTATCTAAAATTTTCAAAATACCTTCTAACGTATTTTCAGCTGATGCCAATTCGCCTAAAATTTCACGACACTGATCCCCAATTATGTGTAATAATATATTAGTTTGAACTATGGGGGCTTTCTTGTTCAGTTCACATGCGTTAAAATATATCAAAAATCCTTTCTTCCATTGTTCCCACTTTTCACTCAATCTTCCTGATGTTATGTCCATCGCGTTTTCATCGAAGTGAAACGGTGACGGTGGCGATAATACAGTCTCCATTTTGATTTTATGCACTTTTAATTATTTGTAAGTTTACTCGTTTACTCATATGTTTTTTTTTTTTTTTTTTAAACTTATATGGATCCTACCGACTGCGCCATGTCAACTTTGATAGGTGGAGCACGTCAATAAAAGAAGAGCTTGAAACAATCACTGATTTATTATAATGAAGATTCATACAAGTTACCTTGAATATCTTATATGTATAACTACCTACATAGTTGTCAATAATAATCTGACAGCTGCTAAATATAATTTCATTATTTGTATATGCAATAAAACATTTCCGAACGCAATATCCTTCTACCCTCCTTACCTATCCATATTACCTACCAAATCTGGGATCACATTGGGGGGTAGATGGACAAAATCAGTCTATAAACCAACTGCGCGTCGAGGTGGTCAAGTTCCGCTAAGATCACGAATAAATCTCCGCCAGTTGCGAATTATTCTATTAGCTGCGATCTCCGCGCAACATACTGTGATACTTAAGCAAATCAACAAAAATATTGGATAATTTGAAGAGAGAATGAGAACGCGTACAAAAGACTTACACGCGGGGACTACGTGAACCAGGTTTGTCCTTTACCCTTCTTTTTATCCAACACTAGCTACAATCAACGGTTTTAAGTAAGGGGAAAAAGGCAGAAAACAGGGTATCTATATACCTTTAATAAAATCCCATTCAGCTGTTTAAACAATAAAATTTCATATTTTTATTATTATTTATCATATTAACAATCGGTTCTTACTAATAATCCATAAGAAACCTGTATATAAATATAAAAAAATCACATAATATATAACACAAAAAAAAAACTGAATTCTCGTAAATTCGGATTTTCTATCTTTAGTAACAAATAAACAATAAATCAATGTTTCCGATGCGAAAAGAGAATGTGTATTTCCGCGCAATGAAATTCGACGCATTCGCTGTCTTTAAACGATTCAATAAAAATGCAAATTATGTGTCTGTGTGCTGCGTTATCGGCGAATTGACTCGGAATAAGTTTATCCGTTAGTTTCATTACTCCCTCCTTTATTTTTCTTCTGGGAAATATTTTACTGTGACAAGAATAGATAAGAGAACTTCTCCGTCATACTCGTAATACAAATGAAACCGACATTGTTTTTATTTTGTTTTATGCTTAGATGATATTTTTGGCAATTTTGGAATACAATATTTAAATTCTTTTTTTGATAATAAGCGAAAGTTAAAAAAAAGGATATTTCACAGTAAAATAACAAAATCTAATGCCCCCTCCCTATCAAACCCAACGTGAATGAGTGTAATATTAATAAAAAAAGAAACATTTTGGACGTATGTATTTCTCAGGGTCCCATCATTTCATACAAAAATGTTTGATATAGTATAAATTTTATTAAAATCGATTTAGCAGTTTAATTTTTAAAATAACTGGTTGGTTGAAGTTGTTATTTTATATTTGGAACAAAATCTTAATCTCTCACTATAACGAATCTACATAGATCTTTTATGATACCTATGGATATAAATATTTTATACAGAAACATGATAAATAGGTACTTGTACAACACTATGAATATTCATTTCCTTTATTGAGTTAATCCTTTTAGATAGTTGCGTAGATTTATTTTCAAACTTTGTCAATATAAAGGCAGTGCTGACTCTTAAATAACAAAATTTATATAAGAACTGTTATTTGCGAATTTTGTTATTCGATATAAATTTCATATCCTTAATTATTTTAATCCTTCTAGATGGTTGCATAGATTTATTTCCCAAACTTCTTCAATATAAAGACAGTGCTGACTCTTAGATAACGATATTTATATAAAAAGTGTTATTTGCGAATTTCATTATTCTATATAATTATCATAAAATAAATTGTTAAATACAGAAAAACTGGCGGGTATTCTGTTCTCCAATGAATAAACTTTGGAGATGCCAATTTACAAATATCCGGTCTGGGATCAATTGTACTCTACTTAAATCAGGAGTCAGTGTAAAGTAGGATTATGGAAATCCCCCTTTTTTGGCGGGACATGTCATAATATCAACCATTCTCATTTTTCAAGCTCGAACGTAAAATACCAGCCCAATATTCGGTTGGGTGACGATGGAATAAATATATTCTATAATTTCCCATGTGACGCTCGAGCCGCGAACGGAAAATACATATTTTTTTTATTTTCTCACATTCTTCATGGCACCTTTAATAAAACATGAAAATACAATAAAAATGAATCGTTCAAAAAATAGAATGGAAATTTATCGTATTTTTATAATAAAATGTGTGTAGGTACATTTTTTTATGTTCGACTTGGGATGGCAATGAAACTGGTAATTGTCACATATGAACAACACTATGAATATAATAATAATAATAATTTTATTCAAGAAAGACACAGTTGCATAAGGTACAATTTACAATGTTTACAATTTATATTCAACGAGAAAATATCTGCATTACCATCAGTCCCCAAACTAGGCCAGACCTGTATCTTGGGGACTATGAGTGCGATTACCTATTTAGTACACTTTATTTACAAAAAAAATAAGGAAAACTATGTGAAAAGGTGAGTGCATGTATGTGTGTATGTGTGTGTGTGTGTGTGTGTGCGCGCGCGTGTGTGTGTTGTGTATGAGTGAGTGAGTGCGTGCATGCATGCTTGTGCATTCGTGCATAAGTAGGTACGTGCGTATATGTATGTGCACAGTCAGGATATATCCCACAATTGTGTTATGGTATTCCTAGATGTATTGCCATCCTTGACGACGAAGATGTTAATTTCACTGCCATATCCCACACTTAAAAAAAATTGTCATTTACTTATATTTAATTAATTAAATATGATAACTCTCATTTAAAAAAAATTAATTTATATATAACATATATTTAGCCTTATCCATTGAAAAAATAATCATCAATATCGATTGAGAATTAGAAACTTAATCACGTAACATAGCTTAATAGTCAAGTGACGGGCATCAGGATCCTTCTTAAAACATCACTAAAAGCCTAACTGCAGTTGCCAATGTGTCTGCTAAACATTGCCACAACTGACAAAACCGCCTGAGATTTAATGGCGGACGCTTATGTTCAGCAATTGGCAGATATACTGATGATAATGATCTCACACTTAAAAACATAATCATTGTCACTTATTTAAATACTTACTTGTATTATTATAAAATACAATCACTCTCATTTAGAACATTTTAATTTAATTATATTGTAGACCTTGAAAACCTTATCTATTGCAAAAATAATCATAAATATCGGTTCAGAATTAGCAACTTAACCAAGTAACACAGTCAGGAAAAAATAGTTGAATTCAGAAACTCATCCTTTAGGCAGTTAAAAACAGCTCTCCTGAAAGTTTTCCTGCTTGAATAACTACTTCAAGTACTTATCAAAGGAGATAAAATACACCGCTATCATGGAAAGGCATATTTAAACATTTCATAGGAAATAGTTTCTGCTAGCGGGAGAGCTGACATAAACTGTATCTTTACTTACCACTGGCCGAGTCGTTTGAAAATAAAGATACACAATTATGGAGAGAGACGTTGAATATATTTAAAAATAGTAAATAATATTTTTCTAATGTTATTGATGCGAATGTTTGTAATGATTTGGATGTTTATTTAATACTTTATTGTACACATTAGTTATAAAAATATGACAGAGGTAAACAAAAGTACAAAGGC